CGCGGTCCCGGTCCGGGGCCTGGAAGGCACAGGGACCTGCTGGCATCTCAGGAAGTTGAGGCCCCAGCCAGCAGATCTGCCTTAAGCAGGCAGACGAGGGGCAGAGCTGCGCCCCCCCCCCCCCACCGTGGAGCCGGGAAGCCAGGCTCTCCGGGAGAGGCTCCGGCCCAGGGTCGCCCATCCTGGCCCCTTCCCAGGAAAGCCATGGGTTTGAAGCTGGGCTGGCTCTGCTCTGGGCCACACTCTCTGCTTTGCGGGGTCGTTGGCGGGACCCAGGGGTGAGGGTGGGGTTCGGGATGCCCAGCTGCGCCCCTCCCCCGCACGGTGACCAGACCGAACTTGGTGCTGGCGGCTTGGAGAGCATCCTGGGCCTGCTGCATGAATGACCCGAGACTGGCCGCCTGAAACCACAGAAACCGGTCCTCTCACGGCTCCAGAGGCCAGAAGTCCAACCTGAAGGTGTGGGCAGGGCCGCGCTCCCTGCTCCCTCGGAAGGCCCCGGGGAGGGTCTTTACTGCCCCTTCCAGCTTTCTGGGCTCCCAGCTGCACGGCTCCGGCCCTGCCTCTGTGTTTTCATGGCTCTGTGTGCAAGCTCCCCTCTTTTTAGGAGGACACCAGTCGGACCGGATCGCGGGCCCACCCTAATCCAATACGGCCTCATCCTAACTGGATTCCATCTGCGAAAACCTGGCTTCCAAACTGGGTCACAGTCACAGGTTCCCAGCAGACACGGAATTTCATTCAACGCTGTTTAACCCTCAGTATCCCCAAAGCTTGGTCTCTGCTTGACTTCCACCCCCTCCACCCCCGGTTCACCCTCAGGATTGGCTGACTAGTTCAGTCTGGGTCCCTCTGGGCTGGCACTCCCTGAAGTTCTGGGGACACTCTGGGGGCAGAGTGTTGGCTCACCCTCCTGGGAAGGCAGACAACACCCCAGCCTACAATTAGCACTCGCAGGGCGGAAAAACCCAGCAGCACCCGCCAGGTGGAGGGAGGGCCTGCAGAGGAGCTTTGGATGGGTCAGGAAGGCTTCTCTGTGGAGGCGACACCAGAGCAGAGCCCAAGGGCCAGCAGGAGCTACCACCTGCAGGCGAACTGGTGAGGGCAGAAGCCTGAGCTGCAGACTTGGATCAGGACAGAGGAAGGGCCGGTGTGGCTGGGCAGAGGGCAGCCACCGAGGAGGGAGTGGACGGCGGGGCAGGTGGGGACCTCTCGGCCAGCTTCTAAGGGACCGCTGGGAGAGGGGGCTGTCCAGGAGAGAGGCGGTGGCTGGGATGGGGGTGTGGGGACAGTGCTGCCATCTCTTCTGTGCCAACTCCCCAGCTGTTTCCTGGCTTTGGGGTTTTTGGGGTGCGGCTGAAGGCTGTGGCAGCCCAGGGTTTGAGCCTGCCGAGCACTGGTGGGTCTTGGCCATGGACGCCTGTCCCCGTGGGGAAGAGATGCCTTGAGGAGGCTGCGGAGCCCTTGTTCCCGAGCCGGTGAGTGGGCCCCACACACGCACTCTGCTGCCCGACGGGTCCTGCCACGTTTCCCAGGCAACTGTTTTAATCTGGCCCGTCTGCCTGGCACCGCACACTCCCACGAATGCCGCTGCCTGGCTGCCAGTGCACTGGCCCGCCTGGCACACACCGGCTGGCAGGTGCGGCCCAGGGTAGCCCACTGCCTGGACTCGCCCGCAGGCCCGGCTCTGGGGAGGAGGCAGCCCAGCGTTCCTGGTGCACTCACCTGGTGAGCAGGCCCAGCCAGGGCAGCCCGAGGGCCGCACGGCGCGAGAGGTGGCAACCCCCGCTGTGAGCACGCTGCCAGGGTCACCTAGAAGTCGGAAGGCCACTCTGCTTTCTAGGGCTTTCCAGGTCATGCCTGCCAGCCTCAGTCCCCGTTCTTGTTCATCTTGACCGTACCTGCAGTGGCCTGATGGCTGAACCAGCCCCCCCCGCCACAGTCTGAGGAGGGTGCAGAGCAGCTAAGTGGGGCTTAGACCACACTCCAGCCGGACCCAGGCCAGGGTCTGGCTAACAGGGTTTCCCTGGCTCAAGCTGATGGGGAGCCCCAGCCGGGCTCCTGGGGACATCAGCACTGGCCAGAGGAGCAAGGAACCCGTCCCCGCCCTGGCTCTGAGAGCACCGGGAGCCGAGACATTTGCTCCTTGGTAGTGGAAGGTGCTGGGCAGGGAGAGGCCCCGGATCGGCTGGCCACACATGCCCAATGCTGGGAAGGGCACCTTGGCAGGGAGGGGGTTCTAGGTCATCATCCACAGCATCCTCACTTCCCTGTGGATGAAGCCAGGGAGAGCAGAGAGTGGGCTGCAGCTGGGCTGCAGGGAGGGGGCCCCCCACCCCTGCCCCTGGAGCACTTGCTGCTTTGCCTGAGGGGGGCCTCTCGGGAATGGCTGAAATGGTCTTTGTAAACATGAATTTGGGCTCATAAAAATTTGTGTCTGCAGCTCCAGGATCAGAACCAATCAGAAATTATTTTCCAGGGAAGCCCCACTCACTGCCAGTCACCTCCGCAGGTGGCTTTCAGTCAGGTTCAACCGTTCAGCCTCCAGCCCCAGCACAGCTGCTGCGTCTTGCTCGTGACACCGGGACAGCTGCGACAAGGTGGGCCCGTCGGTCCGGGTCGTCCGCCCTCCACCTCCAGACGGCTCTGGTGCAGGCAGGGGTGGCGGGGGTGGGGCTTCCTGACGGGCGCCCGCACCTGCCACACGCCTGGCGCCTCACCCCAGCTCTGTACTCCGTGGAGGTGGCCTAGGCCGTGGGTGCCAGCCATGATGGCGGAGCTAATCCCCAGCAGCCGGGTGAAACCAGAGAGGAGAAACCCCCGGGAGGACAGCTTGTACACCTGGCTCCGGCTGCCCCCAGAAGGCCAGGCCCCGAGGGCCTCTGTTCTGCCAGTGAGTGCAGGCCTGGCCTGGGGGCCCGGGCTTTGCCCTTGGCAGTCAAGGGCAAACAAGGGCCCCTGGGCTGGCTAAGGCTAAGGAGCAGGGTGCCCCCCCACCTGCTCCTTCCGTGCCATAGGGCACAGCCAGGCTCCATCAGGCCAGCCCTCGTCCGGGGCCCATCTGGGACCCCTCCCTGCCAATGCCTTGCTCTGCCCTTCTCGGTCAGGGAGCGGGGCTGTGTGAGGCCCATAGAGAAGGGGACTGGAAGAGGCAGGAGTGGTTGGGACGCTGAAGACTCCAGGGTCCAGTTCCCGGAGCCCCGTTCAGGCGCAGTAGCTGCTCACACAGATGGTCCCCATGCAACTTCCCAGCATGGCCAGAGAGCTGAGTGCACGCTGCCTCTCTGAGGCCCGGCTGTGCCTTCCTCTGCCTCGGGGAGGCCTGGCGCCATTCCCTCTGAGTGTCCCCATGGCCAGACTGCGGACATGCGGTGGCACCCCCCCCCCCCGGCTAAGGCTTTGAAGCTGCCAAAGCTGAAGCCAGGGCCCATGGGCCCGTGTCTGGGAGCCCCTGACACAAGCTGTTTGGTAGTCCTGGGTCTGCCGGACACCTGCACTGAGCCCTACCTGGGAGGCCTCACATCTGGGCTGCCCTCACCTGGGAACAGGCCCAGCTGCAGGCCACCTCCTTCAGGGGCTCCTGGGACCACCCTGTGTGGTGGGTCTGCTCGTTTATGCACGTAGGTTCTGTTTTCGATTGGTTGGCAGGTTCTGAGGGTGAGGACCCCGTCTCCTTCCCCTGGAGGTCTCCAGGATCTAGCACAATCCCTGACACAGCCTGTCCCCGCTGTGGAGGTCTGCACTGGCAACCGGATGAAGGGTGATCTCAGTGCCACAGGCAGATGACCTTGACTCAGGGATGGGGGACCCTGGGACTGGAGTGCGCAGTGATGGGGGGGTGCCCAAGACCTGGGACTGGAGGAGGGAAGGACAGTGGCTTGCAGAGGGGCCAAGGTGAGGAGGTTGGAACAGGGCTGTGGGAGGCCCTGAGGAAGCGGGTGCAGAGCAGAGCCCCAAAGCTGCTGGGGTTGGGAAGAGCCAAGGAGTCCCAGAACCCCAAGTGACATCTGCTTGTCTATGGAGGGGAGTTCCTGCCACCCAGCCCCCTACACACTCCAGCCCTGGTGAGGGTGGGGGTCACCCAGGGGCCCACCTTGGGGCCCGCCGGTCGCAGGCTCTGCAAGATCATGAGCAGCCAAGAGTGCCCTGGGCATCTGCTGCCACCAAGTGGTGGATGGAGTGGTCGCCCGGCCAGAGCCCCTGAGCCCTGAGTCTCAGGGAAGCCCCTCAAGAGGCCCGGGTCCTGGAGGACCCCCGTGGCACCGGCCCCTGGCCCAGGCCCCCCCCCCCCCCGCCCCCTGGTCTAGGCTGGCCACCTGGACTTTGCTGCCTTTCTCTTTTTTCTTAACTCCGAAAACCAAGTTCCTCCCTTTAGTAGGGAAACACGATCGTCTTAAGAAGGACAGGCCGAATCCCCTTCCACACAGCTGGAAACTGAGGCTGGGAGCTGTCCGGGGCATCGGGAGGTGGAGGAGCCAGGGCAGGCCTGGACGTGGGGCAGGTGGGCTACTGAGGGGAGCTGCCAGGGGCAGAGGGGGAAGGGATCCTGCGGCCTGACTCTGTGCCCAGTTCCTCCTCCTAAGCCTCTGCAGACCCCAAGCCTCTGGATGACAGCAGATGGGTCCCCCCACATCTCTTCCTCGGCTGGAAATCAGCCCCCTCAGGGCCGGTCGGCCTCCCCCACCTCAGTCCCGCCTCTGGTGCAGGAAGGAACCGTGGCCTGCGTCTCCTCCAATGTGGAGGTCAGGACACCTTCCCCTCCGACAGTGTCACGAAGGGCTCCCAGGAGCAGGCTGTGGGGCGGGGGTGCGTGGCCAGGGGCGGGTTCCAGCGCGCACATGGGAGGGGTCGGGGCGCGCTGGCGGGGGTGGGGGGCGGCCAGGTCCACAGCGCGCTTGAGACAGGAGGTTGGCGGGGGGATGGGTCGGCGAGGGGCGGGGCGGGGTCTGTGTCGGGGGCGTGGTCCCCGGCGGGCCGCTCACTTCCGCCGGACGCGCGGCTGGGGGCGGATGGAGGCGGCACGGAGGCCGCGCTCGGGGCTGCGCAGCCGGAGGCCGTCCTCGGGGGGCGGGTGAGGCCGGGGGCCGGGAGAGGTGGTCGGGGGGAGGCGTGGGGGGGTAGGGGGGAGGCCAGCGTCCCCCGGGCGCTCCGAGGCCCCGCGCCCACGTGTTTCCCGGAACCCGACTCGGTCCCCCCCCCGCGCCGGGTTCCCCGCTGAGCTCTCCCTGCACCCCCCAGCGGCCGCGGGGGGCCCCTCCCGGGGGATGGCGGCGAGTGCGCGCGGCCGTGGGCGGAGCTGCTGCGAGCTGGGAGCGCGGATCTGAGCCCCGACGGAGAGCTGCCGTCGCTGCCCGCCTTCCCCGGCCCGGTGCGTAGTGGGGGGGCCCCCAGGGCGGCCGAGTGGGGAGTGGGGCGGGCGCCGCTGACGCGGCCCGACGACCCCGTTTGGCAGGAGCCCGGCCGAGGTCCCGAGCGCACCGCGCCCCCCGAGGTGTTCACCGTGGGAGCCCGGACCTTTTCCTGGACGCCCTTCCCACAGGCCCCGAGGGGAGGCGGGGACCCAAGCCGTTCCTACCGGGTGCTGCTTGGGGCCCGGGGACGCTCGGGGTCCCCTGCCCGGTCCCCGCAGCGACGCCCCGCGCCTCAGCCCCGCGGGATCCCGGGTCCCCAGGAGCAGCTGTGGGAGGCGACCCTGCGGAGCTGCCCCCCGAGTGCCAGGCCAACTTCGCCCCCAGGTGAGCGCGCCCGGGCCCGGGCCTCCATTCCTCTCCGCTCACCCCAGCCCTGTTCGGGAACCACAGCCACGTTTAGAAGGCCGAGGGGTGCTCGGGCTCAGCTTCGGCCTCTTCAGGTGGTAGTTGGTGCCTGCAGAGTTTGCGGGGCGCAGTGACTGAACCCGTTAGCCAGTCGGCGCAGGTGTATGGTCTGGGGGGTCCACCGCTCACTCATCCTTTGGAGTCCCGTGGACAGCCGGCAGTCTCCCTGGAGCCCCACCCCTAAGTCACAGGGAACCTGGTGGTGACCGCCATCTCCAGGCTGTGGGTCGCCAAGCAGTTTCCTGTTTAAAGTGCCCCACGGGTATCTTCCTAGGGGTAGGTTTTAAAAATGAAGACTTTTTGTGCCTAGAGATGCTGTTTTCCTTTAAGAACTTGTTTATATTCCTTTTTTAAAAAAAGATGTATTTACTTATTTTACAGAGGCAGGGAGTGCAGATGGGGGGGAGGGGCAGAGGGCGAGGGACCAAGCAGTCTCCCTGCTGAGCATGGAGCCTGACGCAGGGCTTGATCCTATGACCCCGAGATCACGACCTGAGCTGAAACCAAGAGTCGGACGCTTAACTGACTGGGCCACCCAGGTGCCCCTCTTTATATCGTGTTTTAAGTAAGGGTAATCGAATCCAGTTTTGCTGAGATGTTAAACCCAAACGGCCAGCTTGTCGGCCATGTTGTTGCACAGGTAAGGACACAGGTGTGGGGGTCCTAGGGCTCAGGTGTAGTGAATGGACAGTAGATGTCAGTGAGTGCGCCAGCTCCAGATTTCCTGTGGCTGAGCGATGGTGTGCAAGTCACAGGCCGCGTCTCTGGTCCTCCAGAAGCAAACGCCATCCTGGACAGTGAGGGCGACGGAGCTGACGGCAGACCAAACGCTCTCAAACCCCTGGGTCGGATGAGCACACAGAGGCTGCCCACGAAGATCTTATGATCCCGTCGTGATCCTGTCGGTCGGTGGTCAACTGTCTGGGCTCCTCCAGTCTGCACCGTTGTTATGGGAACAAGGCTTTGAAAGCCCAGTGTTGGGGTGAGCCCAGTACCCCCATATTTACCTCCTTGAGGTGCCCACACAGCCGAGGGCTGGGGAGGCAAGAGCGGCCTGGTTTGGGCGAGGCGGTGGCTGTCCCGCATGGGGACAGCGACAGGGACGGTGCAGGTGGGTGAAGCCGCGGCAGGCGGAGCCACAAGCCGGGCCTGGAGGAGGTGGCTCAGTGGCCCACGGGAGCACCGGAGAATTGGCAGAATGTTCCCAGACCCAGCATCTCACTGCGTTGCCTCTTGCCTGTTTCGTGTTTTGGGATGGTTGTGAGTTGCAAATACTGACCGGCTTGCTAGTTTTGAGAATGCGGTGAACACTCTATAAACACCGTGGTCTTCCTGACTCACGCCTAGTCCACAAAGTGCAGGGGCAGAGGACGCCACTGCAGGCCCTGGCGGGAAATGTGCTTTCTTGGCAGAAGCTGTCAGGGTACCCCAGCTTTCCTCCTCTTCGGAGGGGGCTCGTCCTTGGGATGCTGGTGTTTCTACACAGTCTAAAGGAAAGGTTCCCGATGACAGAGACGGAGGGAAAAACTGCAGTTTTGAGTTTCTCAAGCAATTAAATTAAGGCTTGGCAGAGTGCCTCATTTTTCCCAACGTAGGTGTCAGTGCAGTGGGGTCCGGGCCTCAGCGTGTCTGAAATGCTCGTCGCGCATTCTCCCATGTGACTGCAAAGGAGGGGGTCCTCGGGCCAGGGCACACCCCTCAGGTCTGCGCAGTGACTGGGGAGACACGGTCGCTGCAAACGAAGGCGCGGGCCCTTGGTGGGATGCTCAGGACCGTGGGGCAGGGAGACAGCCTGGGCCGTGGGAGGGTCCAGTGTGGCAGGTGCACGCAGTAATTAAATGTCCAACCGTCTTGTGACTTTCCCTAGAAAACTGTCAGCTTTTAGTGATTCTTGGGAGAAATTGTTTTAATACATAATATCTTTTATTTAAAAGAATATTTTTTTAAAGATTTTATTTATTTGAGAGAGAGAGAGAAACAGCATGAGAGGGGAGAGGGTCAGAGGGAGAAGCAGACTCCCCGCTGGGCCAGGAGCCCGATGTGGGGCTCGATCCCAGGACTCCGGGATCATGACCTGAGCCGAAGGCAGCCGCTCAACCTACTGAGCCACCCAGGCGCCCCTTAAAAAAATATTTTTAAGTGAACTCTACAGCCAGCATGGGGCTTGAACTCCTGACCCCTGAGGTCAAGAGTCACATGCTCTGCTGACTGAGCCAGCCAGGCGCCCCACTTGGGAACTTTTTGACTCAGAGACTGAAGCTGCGCTCTGCCCTTCTGACAGGCCACGGGGGCGACTGGTGACCCAAGGGCTTCTGGTGACGGGTGTGCTTTGGGGACAGGGCGCTGTGGGATGAGCGCACTGTTCTTCTCAAAGCCTTAGCGTTTCCAGGTCACTCAGGACGGCTTTATTTTGTGATGCGACGGATGGTTACGTGGTGGATTCGACAAACGGGGTGTGAAACCCCGTCCCCTCGCTGCTGAGTTTGCGTGTTCTGTGGGCTCAGGAGGTGGTTGGGAGGATGGGCTCCCACGGCCACTTGACGTGGGGATGGGGAAGCCAGAAGCCGAGTCGTGCCCCATGTGTGCCAGGGGAGCCTGGCTTGTTGGCACTGTGCCAGCTCGGGGCCCTTGCGGGTTGCTGTGTCTGAGGCAGACGCCTGGAGGCTCTTGGTCCGAGTCTCCTGTCCTGCAGCCGCACCTATGGCCACACACGGGGCTTCGATGTGATGGAAGGCAGGCCCGTCTTGGGCAAGCTGCTGCAGAAACTGCGTGTGGGACAGGGCTGCCGAGACCGAGTTCGCTTCCTCGGGGGAGGTCTGAAGGGTCCGAGCGGGTGCCCCCCCCACCCGAGGGGTACCACCTGGAAACCCCAGACAAGGTGACCCGGTCCAGACCTTAGAATCTTCTGGCAGCCTTGGAGAGAGCAGGCAGGGGCCCCAGGGACTTGGGAGCACACTGCCCAGCCCTACGGAGTCTGAGAGGGCAGCTCACGGCCACCAGAAGGGGCACAGGCACCCAGAGCAGCAGGGTGAGAGGCGGTGCCGTGCCCCACACCATCTTGCAGTGATGCTCCAGGGACGGGCCTTTCTACTCTGGTCTGTGAACTTGGCCAGCTGAGCAGGATGGCTCTAGATCGGACAGAGGAAGGGTCACATCTTGGGAGGTCTCTGGGGCTAGGGAGAAGCCATGTGGGCAAACCCGCCTCAGAGGCCATGGCGCAGAGGCGTTCTCTAGCGGGGCCCATGGTGATGAAGGGGGTGTCTGCTCTGTCAGCTGCTAACAGAGGCCCCAGGGGCAACACTGGTGCGCTGAGCTCCGCTCTGTAAGGGCAGGTGGGGCCCTGGCCACCGTGACACGGGCCGGCCTAGGACGGGCTGTGGGGGACATTTAAGTCCCAACAGGAGGGGGGTCATCACCCATGCTGCCGAGCCCAGGGAGATACAGGGAGGAGGCCTGGGCCCGTCTGGAGCATAAGGGTTGCAGGAGTGGGGTCTGGACTGGCCTTGGCCGAGGGCAGGAGGCCGAGGAGCTGAGGGCAGGCCAGCCGACGGGTGGACACAGGAGCCTTGCCGCTTGCAGCCAGTGGGCCCGGCCGCGTTGTGGGAGTGTGTCCCCCAGCAGTCCTGCTGAGCACCCCAGCTCTGCCACTCTCTGGGGCACAGCCAGAAGCTGCCCACCCACAGCTCTCAAGCACATCGGAGATGGTCCTGCCTGGCCCGCCCTCCTTGATGTGGTCAGATGAGATCAGGGATGGAAAGTGCTCTGTGCCACGAATCCAGACCCCTCTGCACACCCCACTGGACACCGAGAGGCCAACCCACAGGCCTTGGAGCCCCCAGAGCTATAGGTTGGCAGCCCAGGTTCACTGAACTCCCTCCCTAAGGGGGCTTGGTCCCTCCACGTCAAGAAAACAGTCTCGGACTTGAGCTGCGCACGCACCTTCCACCCACTTCACTTCCCTGCGTCTCCGGACGGACAGTGAGTGTGCTCCTGGGGTCCCAGCCTTTGTGCTTCTCCTTTTTGGGGGGCCAAGTGGGGTGGTTTTCGTAAGAGAGGACGTGACCCTCTGACGGACCCCTGACGGAGGCCGAGCTGTGGGCAGGCTGGGGAGCAAGGAAGGGCTGCCCTCGACCTTGAGGCCCTGCAGAGGAGCTTCTGACGCTGTCCTGTGCACCGCCGGGCGGGCTTTCGGGCTCCAGGACAGGCAGTTCACTGGGAGCTGTGAGGCTCAAGCCGAGTGGGTTCCAGAATCCCTGGGAGGCTCATTCAGACACAGGGAGCCCCCCTCCCCCAGACGCAGGCGCCTGGGTGAGCCTTGAGAACGTGTGTCCAGGTGCGCTGAGCGCCTGGCCCAGAGACACAGCCCTGGGGAACAGGATTTGGGAAGAGGCCTGTTCTGGCTTGTGTGGCCCCCCCGGACCTTCCCCCCGTTCCTGACCAGCTATGGAGACCATCGCGGGGTTCTCTGAGCTTTGGTGAGGTGGTCACACCAGGGAAGGGCGTGAAGGTGCGTGGTGGGTGCCCCGGCCAGATGGCGTGGGGTCAGTGCTCCCGTGCCCGGGTGACTGTCTCCCCCCTCTTGCAGTCGGCCCCACTGGACGTTGATGGCCACCTTGCTCGGTGCCTGGCGGAAAGCACGGGAGACGTGGCGTGGTGAGCCTAGCCAGTGCGGAGGCCCAGCCTCGCCCTGCTGGAACCGTGTCCTCTCCGTCATGGAAGCCACGTGTTGAAACATCAGTGTGGACTCCTGGTGTGGTGTGTTTGTATCGGGACTGAAACCCGGGCTCCCCTCCCTTTTTGGCTGACGCTAAGCGGAGTGCTCTCCTGCCATCCGGGATGGACAGAGTCGTCCCTCAGCAGAGGGACCAGGCCCAGGTGGATGAGCTGAGACTCATGAGCAGAACTGGCCACGTCTGCGGACAGGCGGGGGCAGCACGTTTTCCTGCCTCCGCAGACCCCGCTCACACCGTGTTTTAATTCCCCAGATGAAGTGCTCATTACTCAGTGTCGGCCACTCACGGGTGGGTGGGGACTTAAGTGCCGGGATCGGGCCAGGCGCCATCGCAGTGGGCAGGCCAGTGTGCCAGAACATTCCACATCAGCCAGGTGGTGTTGGGCTTCCGGGACCAGTGGAAAATGGGGCACAAGAGCACCCATAGGGTAGCTCTCCTTCCAGTGCTGACAGCCCACAGATTCTGGAAGAGCTGGGCTTTCGTGGCACCCACCGTGGCCACAGAGCTGTGGCGGCAGGGAGTGGGTCACGAGCCACGAAGACACCGTGGAAGAACCTAACTGCATGTGACTAAGGGAAAGACGCTAGTCTGCGGACCGCCTGCTGCATGACCCCCTGCTGCATGATGCCCTGTAGAGGTTTCTGGAAAAGGCAAAACTACAGAGACAGTAAAGAGACCTGTGGTCACCCACGGACGGGCACACAGGACTTCGGGCAGTGAGGCCACTTTGCATGATCTGCACTGGTGGGTACATGTCATCATTTTGCCCAAACTGCGCTGCGCCCCCAAGATGTGCACCGAGCACCCTGGGGACGATGACGGTCTGTGCGGTTCATCGGTGGTCACAAGTGGCCCCTGGGAAGGGAGGGTGGGGGTGGGGGTGGCGGTACGTGGGGGCAGGGGCACTGGGAAATCTCTGCAGATGCCCCACAATTTTGATGTGAACCGAAAAATGCTCTATATAAAGTCTATTTTTTAGAAAACGCTTTCCAGGGCGCCTGGGTGGCGCAGTCGTTAAGCGTCTGCCTTCGGCTCAGGTCATGATCCCAGGGTCCTGGGATCGAGCCCCACATCGGGCTCCCTGCTCGGCGGGAAGCCTGCTTCTCCCTCTCCCGCTCCCCCTGCTTGTGTTCCCTCTGTAATAAAATCTTAAAAAAAATAACGCCTTCCAAAACTATTTCCTGGAAACACCTACTTTTATCAGAAATAATAGTATGCGTGTTCCTCCAAGTCTTTCTTTAGTAGATGTGAGAAGCCTGCCCTGCCTCGGCCCGCCAACGCTGGCTGTGGGAGGAAGACGGCCGGGGACGGGCGCTGCCCGCTCACCACGCCAACCACAGACCGCGCCGGCCATGGCCACGGCGTCTCCGTCCACGGACCATCCAGACAACCCATGCTGCTCACAAATGTTGGGGCTGCTGCTTCCAACCCCCACTGCAGTACTACCTTCCCCTTCTTGAATTTATAAAGCAGATGGCTCTACGTGTCCCCCTGAGCCACCAGCCCGGCCATGTGCACATGTCTGCACAAGACCCGCCCAACTGGAACCTGAGCCGCTGTTTGGCAACAATAAATCAATGCTTTCAGTCTCAACAAACCCAGGGCCCCTGTCTTGTTGGAACAGACACTGTCATTGTGCCTAGGGGGGCTCTCAGTGGCCATTTGTTATCCCCTCCTGGGCACACGGGGGTCTCTACCTCCCCGTGTGACATCAGCCCGTCCCAGGGCTCCGCTCACCAGTCCCAACTGACCGCCTAGCCCTCGGGCCGAGGCTGTGCTACTGGATGTCAGCACTGGGCTCTGACCCCTGTGAGACCCAGAAGGTGGCTCTCGGGATCTGCTCTGAGGTCCCTAAATTCTGTCTTTGGAGGCAAGTCTTCCTGGTTGCAATTGTGGTGCTGGTTGAGACAAGTCTCTGTTGTAGAAAAGCTACTCTGCAACCGGCGTGGAATGGTTGTGGGTCTTCTAGATTTATTATTTAAGGCTAGGGGCACTTATACACAGATGTTATTAAATTTTCTAGTTCCAGGGGCGCCTGGGTGGCTCAGTCGTTAAGCGTCTGCCTTCGGTTCAGGTCATGATCCCAGGGTCCTGGGATCGAGCCGCCTATCGGGCTCCCTGCTCCACAGGGAGTCTGCTTCTCCCTCTCCCACTCCCCCTGCTTGTGTTCCCTCTCTTGCTCGCTCTCTCTGTGAAATAAATAAGTAAAAATCTTTAAAAAATTTTTTTCTAATTCTGAGCATCCTTATTACCGATAAAAATATTTTTTTGAAGATTTAATACAAGATAACACGGAGCTTAGTGTTTGCAGAAATATTTTGTGCAGATTTCGTTTTCAACTTCCTAAAATTTTTTGGTCTCCGGATGCTTCGGTGAGCAGCGTTAGAATCCAGGATCCGTCTGGATGCCGCGTGGCCCCCGCGCTAGACCATGGCGACACACGGGTGTGACATACGTGTTAAATATTAACAACAGAAACTTACCGGGATTTAGAAAATGTTCCAAATTTGTAAATTCTTCATCGCAGTGCATCCCCGTGGGCACTCGGACTCCCGTCCCCAGTCCCCAGCCGCCACTTGGCGCACGACCCCGCCTGCTCCGGGGCCTCCGGGTGGGTGTCGCCTGAGACTCTGGGCAGGTGTCGCACGCGGAAAAAAGGCACCAGGGAGGCTTCAACATCATGGGCACATTTTATTCCTCAGGACATTACAGGCTAACTCTCCTGGCGGAGCAGGTCAGTTCTGTTTCTGTGGAAAGTGTGCACCTTCGAAATCGTGGGGCAGTTTCTCCCTCGGACGCGGTCACCGCGGGGCCTCCGCGGCGCAGGCACAAGAAGCAAACTCCTCCATCACGAAGCCGGCCGCGCGGGCCCGGACGCCAGACTGTTCCGCTCCGAGAAGCGCCGGCTGGACGCCCCGTCCGCGGTCTCAGCGGCAAGTGTCCCTCCTGGCCGCGCTTGGAGCCTTGCGCCCAGCCTGGCATGCATGCGCTGTGGTTAAGGATAGAGTGAAGGGGTCATTCACAGACGTGTCCATGACAGAGAAGACGGCCTCACACGGACTCCTCGGTGGAGAGCAGTAACGGGTTGATGTACTCGAAACCTTCAAACTCAGACTGGTCGATCCTCTTTATGACGTCCCTGTGTGCACAGGCAGAGCACAGGGGCTGGTGTCAGCCCCCGCCCCCCCCAGCCCCGGGCCGGCCCCCCCGGCCGCCCCCCCCCAACCCGCCCCCAGGCCTTACTCATCATCTGGGGTCAGCTGCACAGGCTCGCTGGTGAACTGGGTGTCGAAGTTGTCCAGACCGTACTCGTCGGTTATCTGGGGCTGGAATGGCGGAAGGGCCTGCTTCTTCTCCAACTGGGAAGAACAAGGCAAGAAGTCAGACTGATACTGTTTGTCATCTCTTGGGTTTTCGCAGGGACCTAAACCACAGAACGGAATAGGAAGACACTCCCGTGTTTACACATGTCCTGTATTTGAAAGCTAGTTTTCTCTTCCCTTAAAACAAGTCTAGGAGAAAGCATCTGAAGCCAGAAAAATCCTGAGTTTAGAAATGCTGGCAGCATGGGCCACGTGGGCCCTGTACCCAGGACAGAGCCAGCTGGGCGTCTGCACCCACACAGCCCGGCCGCTGAAGCCAAACCAGGCTGGTCTCGGGAGTGTTTTCTTTCTTACAACTTGGAACCCTGGTCGTAAGGGAGCTCGGACTCGGCAGGGACGCCGCTGCCCACGCCGCTGCTTGGTGAGCCCCTGTCCCGCCGGGACCTTCCTCCCCGAAAAGCCGTAACTGACCCTCTTGTTTCTAGTCACAAGGGATGCTCGTCAGGCAGGAAACAGGGCTTCTCAGGATCCAGACTCTGACTTCCAACTCACCCTTTATGGGGCTAAGACACGCTTGTGCCAGAGGGTGGAGTGCCCAGGCCAGGGACCCCTCAGCGGCACGTCACGCGGGCGAGGACAGTGAGGGCCTGCTCGCTCAGTCCCTCTATGACACACGCAAGCCGCCCCCCCCACCCCCACCGGGTGTGTGCTGTGCCCGTGTTGGGCCAGGCACGTCCCCAAGAACACCGAGCCGTGAGCAAGAGACACGGGCCCCTGCCCCGTGGAGCCATCGTGCTGGGTCCCCTCCCTGCCGCATAACCACGCGTGAGGCCAAGCGAGAGGAAGCACGCAGCACGCTGCCCAGGCCTGTTGGGCCCTTGGTAGGGCTGAGCCTGGGCACGCCTGCCCGCATGGGGCTCCACACGTCCCCGCACAGGCCTGGAACCGTCCAAGGCCGACGTGGCGAGCTGTCCCAGTTATAACAGAAGCAGAGTGGGCGTGGGACGTGAGCGGCTCGGGCCCCACTTTGGCAAGTGGAGGACATGGGTATGTCGCAGACACGGACAAGTCCTTCCTGCCGGCTGCCCGACATGCACAGGGACGCGGCTGGCACAGCATCCGGTCCCCGGGCAGGAGAGGGCATGTGGCAGGGAGGACGGGCTGTCCCTGCAGGCAGAGCGGGTCACCCGTGTGCGTGGGGACCAAGGCCCTGTCCTTGTTGCTTCTCACCTTTTATACACAATTACCCGTGTTCTTTTATATGCAATCTTTTCTGATAAAAAGTTGGGCGGGGGGCACGTCTTAAGCCATTTCCCCACCTTAGGTCTCAGCTGCTTTAAGATTTAAATAGCAAGTCGCAGCAGACCCAAGGGGCAAGTGGAGCTGGGTCTGAAGCAAGCAGCTCTCCCGGGGTCCTCCACGCCCACCCCCCATCCCAGGGCCCCATCCTCTGGTCTGAGGGCGTGAGGCTGCTCAGCCTCCCTCCAAGTGTCTCACAAGCGTCACCTCCTTTCCTCAGTCAAAAGCAGTGAGCAAGAACAGTGCCACCTGGACGTCGCCCCGGGACAGGCCGCCACTGGGCGGAGTCGGTGTGAGCAGAGAGGATGCTGGAAGGGACGTGCGTGGCGGCCAGGCAGGCTCCAGTTCTGAGGGCCTGAAGGAGGCAAGGGTGGTGGGCTGCCCCGCAGAGGGTGCCGGGGGCCTCGGGGGCTCCGTGAAGCCGGAGAGGAAGCAGGAAGTCCCTGGACAGAGGAGGCTGCCATTGGCAAGGCTGGGCAGGGAGCGGTCCCGTCCTGCGGGGGGGCAGAGGCCCAGACACTGGAGGCTGAGTGTCTGAGGCCTGGGTGGGAGAGGCAGAGTGGGGTCCAGGGTGACCGCATCTCCCAGCGGGGCTTCTCCTGTCCACTAGTCTGTTTCCCCAGCTCCGGGTGATGAGCGCCCCACCAGGTGTGTGCGAGGCAGAGACTGCTGGACCCTGCTCTCCCGGCCGTGGGGGCAGCGAGGGAATTCCAGGAGCCGCCCTGTGAGGGCAGAGGGACCCCAGCACCCATTTTATCAAAATGCTTCTTCCCCTCCACTATCTGCACGTCCCTCCCACCGAAAACAGCATCCCCTCGAGCACCGCGGGCCGCCTCATGCAGTACGTGTCCTCTCGCTCAGGCACGTCAGCAACGGCAGCGGCCGAGCGGGTGGTCGCTCACTCCGCAGAGCCACGGGGGGGCCCGCAGGCCCCCATGTCCCCTAGGGGACCACCTGCGCCTTCCCCGACCGACTGGGGTCTGGATGTGGCTTATGAATGTGGACACTGCTCGTAGAAGAGCACTCTCATCATTTCACACGCACGCCATCAACCCTTGGCCTTCTGATCACGGCAAATGCAGGGTGCACTTGAGAACAGTGTTTCCAGCAAGGATGCACTGACCAGAGATGGCCAGATGCCACCCTCAGCGGATGCGGCGTCACAGGCCACTGAGGACTCTCACCGAGGCCCGGCATCTGGCTAGAGCCCCGCGACCGTGGGCAAGGTATCTACGAAGGCCTTTTCCAGCTCAGCGGGATGACACCTGCCTAGCGAGTGCTGGGGGCTGCGCTTTGCAGAACCCCCGAGGCACTGCCGTGGGCTCGGCCCGTCAATACGTGGGCCACGGAGGCTCAGTGTGGCCCGGGGGTTGTGGACGCCAGGCACTTTCCTCCAGGCCAGGTGTCCCAAACTGTACAGATAATGGTCAGAAACCAGCCCAAGTCTTAATTTCCCCTCCCTTGTGCTAGCGGACCAATCAAAGTCAGTTTCTCTTTTGTTTTTTGAGTAAGCTCTACACCCAACGTGGGACTTGAACACACGACCCTGAGACCAAGAGCTGCACGCTCCACCGACTGAGCCAGCCAGGCGCCCCTCAAAGTCTTTTTCTTAATTAAAAAGTACCTGTGCTCTGAATATTGTTCTAAGTATTTGTGTCTAATAACTCCAAGGGAGAGGACGCTGGATTGTGTTTTGAAATCACCCAGCCGCGGCCTGGACAGGGCTGGGTGTGGGCGGGGTGGGCGCGTGGTCTGAGCGCGCTCCTCACCGCGACCCCACAAATGCGCAGACGACAGTCCTGTGGGTGGAAAGTGACAGTGACCAGAGGGAGTGGATGAGAGCTGCCCCGCCCCCGGCGGGCCTCAGCACTGGCCGCAGGCCTCCACAGCCTCGGGAGGGGGGGACGCAACACTGCCCAGAGCGGGGCTTTCCTCCGATCTAGTTTGAGCTAAAGGTCAATGTTCACTTAATTAGCTAGCTAATCTCCTTTGTCTCAGGAGCACCATTTAAAGGTTATATTTCAGTAACTCTGCAGCCAGTTATATGTTGTGAACCAAATTCAGTTCAATCTTCCTCTAGTACCAGGAACCAGGGTGCTAAAGTGGAAAGGGCTTGTGTCCTTCACTGCTCACCGCGGCCCAAGATGGGACCAACAAGGGTAGGTTCTGGGAAACCCACCATGAAACCGGCTCCCACCAGTGGATTTTACACAGACTCAACCAGGCGGCGTGCTCACAGATGAAGGACCTCCCCAGCCGGACCCCCGGGCAGCACAGCACGTGGTGGGGACACCGAGGCAGGACCTGCCCCAGGGCCCCAGAGGGCGGCCCCGCCACACCCTTCATCCCAGCCCTCCCCGGGGTGGGGGGGGACAGCAAACGGGTCCCCGCGCTTTACCAGGTCCCAGTCTATGCTGCGGAAGAATGCGTGAGACTTGATATCGGAAAATCCCGTCTGTGGCCGGCAGCCGAGCCTCTCCTTGGGGTCCTAGGGGTCAGAGTTCAATAAGGACCAGTCAGTATGGAGCAAAGCAGCCCGGATTCACAGCCAGAGGACACGCAGCTTCCCTTCCCTCTGTGACGTAAGAGCTTCACCGCATGCCCTCCGCCACCTCAGCACCCAGCTGAGAGCAGACGGTACCTTCACTGAATTTCTCTTGGGCACAATTTCTCGTTCTGTTTTGGCAAGTATGACCGAAGACGCCGAAGCACAGGCAGAGGTCCGGTCGGGAAGCAGAGCCCCCCCCCCCCCTCCGCCCCGGGTCCCGCAGCAGCCCGGGCAGCCACACGCGGGAGGGACGGCCCTCTCGGCGGCCACAGGTGTGTACCTTGTTTAAAAATCCTTTCAGGACGTGGGAGGCTTTCACGGAGAGGAATCGGGGGATCCGGATGGGCTTCTCCAGGATTACTGCAACGAGTGGGACCCTGGTGAGAAGCCCGGTTCCCTCCCGACGCTCCCTGCTGTTTGCTCTGCCCAGCCGGGAGCTGGGCGGTCTGCAGGGCTCTCGAAACCCCTTCCGGGCAGGAGCGGCCCCTGGCCCCTGCTCCCAGCATGCAGCAGGGTCTCTCTGCCACAGAGGGGCCCCCACCCCCCCGCCCCGGACGTGCCCCGGATCCTGCAGCGGCCTCACGGACGAGGGCGCCTCTGCACAGGACCACCAGAGGGCGCTGCGGGGACGACCGCGTTCCTGGGCGCCCGCATCCCAGGGGCAGGGAATTCGGCACCTGCAGGTGGCAAGGAGCCCTAACCGGGGCCCTGCCCACCCACGCCTCCAGGGTGCACACCTGGCGGCGGCAGGAAGGAGTCTGGGCTAAATCAGGACAGGCTGTCTTTCCCGGTGAACCGGCCCCCACACCACCGCCGCTCCCGCTTCCCCAACCCCGTCCTTGCTTCCCCGAGAGCGGGTGTGTGGGGACGGGCAGGTCGGGGGGGGGGGGGGGGGAGACCTGAACGCACAGCCCCGGGGGGTGGCACCTGAAGCCTCGGGAAACACCTGGTGGCCCACACACCTTGGAAAAGGTAGTCCTCGGTGTTCATGTCGGGGTTGTCGGTGATGATGTCAAAGGGGGAGCGTCCGGCCATCATCTCAAACATCAGAACCCCCAGCGCCCACCAGTCCACGCTGAAGCCTGGGGGGACGGCACAGGCCCGGCCGCGGGCGGTCGGCAGGGGCTCTACGCAGTGGGGAGGCAGGGGAGCGCGGCCGCGGGCACAGCTCTGGCCAGCGCTGGGCCCGGTGCCCCGACGTGCCCTGGGCGGCCTGGCCTCCCCTCTGCCCACCGTCCTGGGGCCTGTGTCTTTTTTTTTTCCTTAACTAGTTGCAAAGCTGTTTCCACATCAGGGCCGTGTACCCTCTTGCTGGCTCTCTGCTGGTTTTCCAGACTGTCATCCCGCTTTTTCGTCCAGCCTGTGGCCCACCCTCTGGCTGCGCAGACTTGGGAAGCTGAGCGAGCCTGTGGGGCAACCATCCTTTTCCCTCTCCTTTGGCTTCCTACCTAAATTTGAACACTCCCCTTCTTGAAGGCCGCAAGCAGTCTTTCCCACGTTCTCCTGCAGTTGCTCTTTCAGGGTGCACTTTATGGCACCGGGGAATGGGAGTGGGAGAGCCTGGCTTCAGTTGTGCCCGCGGCCCCTTAGGCTCTCCGGAGCTGTCGCCCCATCCCATACGGAACCCCCCGGCCCAGACCGGCTTCTGGACGCCCGATCCCGGTCTGCCCATCTGCCATCTGTCCCTCCCTGTCTGGCTCCTCAGTGACACGGGGGTAGCAGCCTGGCAGGCGCCTCTGACCCGAGAGAGCAAGTGACCTGCCCACCTAGCAAGCCCCCATTTTAATGCAAAGAAAATGTTTAAAAATATCTGATGGTGTATTTGTGACATGCTTCACTGAAAACACTAGGACACACGAGTGTGTGGGGTGTGCACACACGCACAAGCCTGCATCGCACATGGCACTTCACACTCATGCACATGCACCACACACACGTGCACACAGAGCGATCTTATTTTTGTTTCAAACCCAGAGAAAGCGGAGGGGCAGAAACGCAGTCCGCAGGCGCTGCAGGCGGGTTAACCTGTCCCCCTCGGTCACTCCCCCACCGATGGGGGCGGCACGCAAGCTGGCGGCACTCGTGTACGTGTGTGTGGCTTTGCCTCCTTCCCCACCGCTTAGGGCTCCTTGATAAAAGGAATGCTATCCAGTCCCTCCACCTGGGGACGCGTGAGTGGACACCCAGGAGGACAGACAGGGGCCACATAGGTTCGAATAAGGGCTGAGGCCAGACGGTGACAGGGGCCGGGAACAAAGTGAGGGGTGTGTATTTCAGGTGTAATCAGTCAATAAAACCGCTCTCCCTGGCTACTGGGCTCGGGCCCCAGAGTCCGGGTTAGGACCCCTGGCAGGGTCAGCCCCGGGCCACCTGGTCCCCTCTGCTCCGGGACCACATCCCTGAGAAGAGCATGCCTCCAGGGCCCAGGGGCTGTCCTCATCTGCATCTGCATCTGCCTGCCGGGTGCCAGCGAGCAGCTCCCCCGCCCGCCCGACAGCCCCACTCACCATACTCCTCCCCCCGCAGGATTTCTGGGGCGATGTAATTTGGGGTTCCGCAGAAAGTGCTGGTCGTGTCACCAGGGCCCAGGCCTTCCTGTGGGGACAAAGTCGGTTAACCCCTCATCGGTGGGACGATGTGTCTCAGAGAAAGCCGGCTCAGGACCCTGAACGCGAGGCCCCTGGGCCCCCTGGAGCCGCGGTGACCGGGTGCTGGGCACCTCTGACCACGCAGGGGCGTCACCCACGGACCGCATACTCGCCTTGCACATGCCGTAGTCTGTTAACTTGATGTGGCCGTCAGCGTCGAGGAGGACGTTGTCCAGTTTCAGATCCCGGTAGATGATCCCTCGCTCATGGAGGAAGTTGAGAGCAATACAGATCTCAGCAGCGTAGAATCTGGGGGCAGCAGAGAGAGCCCAACAGGGAGCTTGGGTGGGAGGCCCGTGCGGGCAGAGTAGGAGCTGGGGGGATGCCGCTGATGAAGTGACCAAGAGCATGTTGTTATACCCTCTGACCCTCGGCTTTGTCATCAATAAAATGGGAATAGTATCACCAACATTCCTGTGCCTACTAGGACAACTAAACACATGAGATAGGGTCTTGAAGACATGTGCACAGCTCCGTCCATAACTGCACCGTTCACTGTGGCCAAAGGTGGAGACCACCCAGGTGCCCATCGCTGGATGGACGGACAAGCAAGCGTGGCCCCTCCACACAACGGGGTACTGAGCCCTGCTGCGACACGGATGGACCTTGCGGACGCTCCACTCAGTGACATGAGCCAGTCCTAGAAGGACAGATGCCGTCGGATTCCCCCTCAGGAGGTCGCAGCGGGGACTGGGGAGGCTGGGGGGCCAGTGTCTCATGGGGGCAGAGCGTCAGTCCGGGAAGATGGAATGTTCCGGAGACGGACGGTGGCGTCAGGCGCACCACTGTGTGAATGTGCTTTACGCTGCTGAGCCGTGCACTCGCAAAGGGCTAGCACAGTGAATTTTATGTTCTGTCCACAATTAAAAATGAAAATGCTCGTGTGTGGGGAGTGAGCGATGCCTGACTTACTACCTGCCTTTCCCAGAAAGGACCTAAGGTGACTCACAAAACTGCATGGAGGTGTTTTAGGCGAGGAAGCAAGGAGCCCCTGCGGAACCCCAGGCAGAGTGGGCCCCGAGGCGGCGGCGGTGGGAGGGCGGGTGGCCCTTAGGGTCACTGTCACCTAAACAGAAACAGGTTCTTCTTCTCCGAGGGCCAGTGCCCTGCTTTGCATCCATGTAACCAGAACCAGAAGTGGCCCAATGCCCACTTAGGGGAGTTTACAGCCAAAATGTATGCCCCCCGCCCCCGCCCCTCCCTGGTTTTGGAAACAGGAAAAAGGCAGAACCATGTGCGGTGCCATTGGGCACTGTCTCCCCCAGGAGCATCCTCCTCTCTTCCATAATTGTGGACCCCTGAGCCACACTGCAGGGGACACTGGCGTCCTCCCTGCCATGGCCCCCCGGACTCCACCTCCCTTCCAGCTCACTGCTGGCCTCCGAGGAGAGGCCCCGCTGCCCGGCCTGTGCCTGCCCGCCCACCAGCATGGCACCCACCTGGCGTGCTCCTCCGGAAGCTTCCTCTGTCTCTGCATATGGAACATGAGGTCCCCGCCATTGACGTACTCTATGACCAGGAAGAGCCTGAAGGGAGAGAGAGAGAGCAGTGGGGGCTGAGACCCCATGCGGTCCGCACCGGACCTTGCTGGAAGCAGGCGCAGCGTGGGGAAGCCCCAGGACCGGGGCAAACCAAGCTTGGTGCTGTCAGGTCAGCTCTCCTCCGGTGAGGCCGAAGCAGGGAGGTGCCCAGGGTCGCCGAGCCCGGCCCAGGCTGGTGAGGAAAGCAGCCCGGGCTGAGAAGTCGGGCTCGGCACCCAGATCCCTGGGGCATCATCCTGGAGGACGTCAAGAGATCCTGCCCACTGGGTCTCTTGTTCTGATCAGTTCTGATCCTGACGTAGGGAACCTGACCGAGAGCACACATGACAATTCCCGTTCAGCCGCTCATGCCCCCCAGCACAGAAGCCCATGTCCTCCCCACGGGGCCGGCAGGGCAGGGGCAGGATACGGAGCTGCGGGACCACCCTGGAGGCCGCGGGGCCCAGGAGAGCAGGTGCACGGGCCAGGGGAGGGGGTGGTCATGTCTGTCGAGTGACTGCTCTGCCCACCGAGTCTGGATGGACCCCAGGGAGGCACAGGAGGTGCTCTGTCCCCAGGGCTGCCCCGGTGGCTTGGGTGGGGGCAGGGCACTAAGGAGGCGCTGAGGACAGCCGACAAGCTTGCAGAGGTCTGGACACTAGGGCGGAAAGAAGGGGGTGGGGCTGCAGGCTGGAGCCTGGCCATTGGATGGACTGTCCCAGCGCAGGGGTGACTTGGAGGCAGGGAGAAGGCCTGGGGGCAGCTGGGGCCAGGGTGGGCCAATGTGACCCTTTGTGACCCTGTGTGACCTCGTGACTAAGGAACTGGGACCACACACCATCCCCGTCTCCAAACACTCTACCACGTGGATCCTTCTATGCGACATCTTTCTCGAGTTCAATGAGATGCCATTTTCAAAATTAAATTCAGGCACACTCTTCCAGAAATATCCTGCTGAGGGCAGCTCACGGTTCCTCTGGGTGGGCAGTGGGAGTGAGTGCAGACAGCTGACGGGGTCGGCTGGTGGGTCACAGGTGCCCCGCCCTCACGGCCGCCGGGAAGACGGGGGTCACTTTATTTGAGTGAGTACACGAGCTGAGGCCACCCACGGAGGTTCTCATGCATGCTTACAAGAGCGACAACCTGAAATCCGTCAACACGCAGATGGAAACGGGCCTAGACCCCAAGCGAGCAGCCGTGACCCTCTCGGCCAGTGAGGAGCAACTCCTTCGGCCCTCGTTCTGCTACCCTGCCTCCAGAGGATGTGTCTGGAAGGGCAAAGAGAGCTTGACCTCCCCAGGATTCATTCACCTGCGTCCGTAAAGCTTTGCCGGCACAGAGCTACGCCCGCTCACATACGTGTTGTGTGTGGCGGCATTCACACGACAGTAGGCGTGAGAGACGGAAAATATGTACCATCTGCCCTTGGCAGAGTGTCTGCTCGTGCACGTCCAATCCTGCCAGCCACCGTGGGGAAGCGAGGTGGTCATCACCCCCGCAGAGAGACCTCGGACCTAACAGTTAGCCAAAGTATTAAAAAGAGTGCATTTATTCAAAACTCTTAGAGTGACTTCAGAGCACAGGACAGAGATTTTCCACAACGACCAGGAACTGTGTCCCCAGTTGGCGCGGCTCGCTTGAGAACCTGCCCTCCCGGAGAAGAGGCGTGCACCCCGACGCTGCGCTCCCAGGAAGCGCCTCCAGGGCTGCTGGCCCACTTTGGTGGTGCCTTTCCGTAACAGGGATAAACCTGACACCACTTCCAGAGAAAATAACAAAACACACAAATTCTGGGAAAATATCGACAGCCTTAGGGAGCTGAAAAATGAAGGGGGCGTTTCAAAATGTAGAGAAGTGGAAGCAAAGGAAGTTTTGTTTCCTATCCGGGGGAAAGCCTACCATGGGCATTTGGGGGGGGGTTGGTCCCCTGTCCCAGGAAGCCCCTGATCAAGGGATTTGTTCACTTGGCAAAGTTTATCGCCCAGTCACAGCGGAGGACCTTGGTTTTCTTTCCACGGAGGCTGCAAACATAAGGCTTTTGGTTTGCTTTTCTTCTTTTTTTGGCCTACAGATAAACCTTAAGACTACTTTTGACATTTCTTCAGAGCAAAACTGTACCAGAACCACGCGACGCTGATTCTCTGACGATGATGCTCCGTGTGACTCAGGGCTGGCTGCCGTGTCCATGGCTGAGCCCCGTGGGGTTCACCTCCTGCTCGGGGGCGCCTGGCATATGCGGCAGTTCACGGCGTGGCTTGGGAACGGCACGTGTCCTTGTACCCATGGCCCTGGGTCACGTGGCCACACCCAACCCGGAAGGAGGAGGGTGACGGGTCCAGAGGCCCGGGGCTGCCCGCCAAGCTCAGATGGCCGCACTAGGCCAGACTCTCCCACAGTCTGCTCGGACGCTGCACCAGGAAGGGAAAGAAGCAGGGCTGTGGAGTGGGGTCAGTTCCTAACCCCCCCGCCCCTGGTCACCCAGACGGGAACCTGGGGGCTGCGGCCCCTGCTGGCTGGAATAAACGTGGGCATAGGAGGGCACTCACAGAACCCCCGGGCGAGAGCCGGATGCGGACTTGCTCCTTAGGGCCGAGGACCTACCACACCCTCCCCCACATCACCCCTGCCCCCCTCCCCCCACCATGGAATAAAGTACCCAGCCCCCACACATCGGCTCAGAGGGAAAGACCGATACCGTAAGACAAGAGTATGCTCAGGTCAACAGGTGATGCTATAAACCAGGAGCTGGTCATGTCCAGTCCGCCACCTGTTTGTAAATAAAGTTTTACTGCATGTGTCTATCGTCACGGACCGTGTATGGCTGTCTTTGCACCACGACGAATACTTCCGACACAAAGCGCGTGGTCCTCAGAGGTGAAAATACTATCTGGCCCTTTGAGAAAAAGTGCCAACTGCTAGTACACAACACGAGAACAGCTTTTACAGCCCTCCCTGAACCTCAGGCTGTAGACTCAGCACGTCTGTGCATTAACGTTTAACCCAGAGACTACGAGCCAGACGGGGAAGCGGGGGCACCGGAGAGGTGAGGGGCCTTCTCAGGATCACAGTCGCTGTAAGACCTGACACCAGACAAAGTGGGTGAATCCAGAACCCACGCTCAGAACCCCCACCGGCAGGTACCACCCCCACATCACAGGGGTGCCTGCCCCCCAAGGGAACTGTCCGATGAGGACGGAGAAGACGCTCGGGGGACAGAGGAGAGGCAAGCCTGTTGCAATGGGACCGGACGGGTCAGAGACCAGAGGAGGCTGCTGGCAGACAGGAAGCTGACAAAGCGGGGGCAGCAGAAGGGTTTAGGTTGCCCAAAGAGATCTGCCAGATCCAGAGACGGCCAGCCAGGCCTCAGGTCCGCCCAGAGAGGAAAAACGCCAGGACACCCCCCCCAATATTTGGGGGCCTTGAGGCGAGGCTGGCCCCGGTAAGCTGGGGCCAAGGCGGGGCAGGCGCCCTCGAACGGGAAAGGGGAAGGCAACCCCCGGCCCCCTCTGGACTCAGGATGCCACCTGACCACGTAATGGAGCAAACCACGAACGACCAACACAGTGGAGCAGCTCCAGGAGGGTCCGGGTGGGAACGTCAGCACCAGGAAGACGTGAGCTTCATGTTCACAAAACTGGGAGGTAAGAGGGGTAGCTCCTCTCCCCAAACCCCAGGCCCTAGTCGTCCCAGTGCAACTCAGAATGTTCTAGAGAACAAATGAGAAAATTCAAAAATCCAGTAAAGACTGCGCAAGAGAGAGAGTACAGATCAAAACCGGAATGAGCATTAGCGGAAACCCGCATATGAACCATCCGTAAACGGAGTCTAAAAGCACAGAAGGGGAACGAAATGCGGAGAGCGGCCCAGCCTCCCAGGGAGTCGAGCGTCCATCAACACTAGTTACACTTCGTGATGGGGCAACTCACGGGTTTAGGAGCCCTGAGGACTCAAACCCATCACAACCACCTCCCTCCAGGCGAGAAGACTTTGGAAACACTTCCACGTTCTTTCCTGACAGTAAACGAGAAATCGATGTAAATGTCCTGAATGACTCTCCCAGCCGGGTCCTGGCCTGTCCTCTCTCAGCCTATCTAGAGCCTTCTGCCAACTACTGGGGCTGAGAGCCTGCAAGCTGCACCCCCCGCCCCCGGCTCCTTGGCCACAGGGGGCCCTGGAGGAGACCAGGCGACAGGCGTTCAAGGGGCAGGAGGGGATGGCTCCTGTGTCCAGCAGCTTGGCGGGCAGGGGGCGCGCACCTCTTCTGTGGATCCCAGTGTGGCAGCCGCAGGTGGGGACATGGGTCTCTGCTGTCCCCAACCTCCTACAGCCTCTTGTGGTAACAAATGCCAAGGCTGCCTGTCTAAAACCTGCAGGGCTGTTTGGTTCTGCTTTTCCCACCACAGCCGATGGTGCACTCACGGTGCAAACACCAGGACGTTCCCACGAGGTCAGGAAGAAGCCAGGCTTGCCGGCCACCACCAGCCACCGCATGCAGTAGGCACAGGCCGTGTCATCGGAGACCAGTAAGCAGGCATGGGCTGGAAAGGAGGGTTCATCCGTCTACCGACGTCCTAACTGCACACCTGAAAACCCAGGAGAACCACCGCCCGGCTCAGGAGGCACCGAGCACAACGCGGACACGGGAGCCGCACACGAGGTGCTGGCCGCTCTGCTGGGAGGAAAGAATTCAGCGGAAATGAGTGACGAGTGCTCAGGACAGACATTATGCCAGGAAGTGAAGACTCTGCATGACTAAAATGTTACCCACATTGAAAAGTAAGGAGCAACAAGGGAGACACAAGATGCAAAACAAGGGCAGCGACACACCGGGCACCGCGCATCTGCAGAGGGACCTCCCCCGGGCGCTTCCCTGCACCGTACAATTGCACAGGGGCGCCTGGCCGGCTTGGTCGGAGCAGCGCGCGATGCTTGACCTCGGGCTCGTGAGTCTGAGCCCCACGTTGGGCGTAGAGATTGCTTAAAATAAAGAAGAACAAAAATAAAAC